GGGGTAAGGAGTGTAGGGAAAGGGTCGAGAGACCGAGGTGGCAAAATCGAGGTGGAAAGGAAAGTTTCGAAAAATATTTTCCTCATTTTTTGACAGTGAGGTTATTTTCTTGAAATTTGAGAAAAATGAATTTATAAGAAAATTATTTTTTCAAATATTTAAGCCAACTAAATATAAGAAATTGAAAATCATAATTTTGTAAAGTGTTTTCCTCCGTACCAAACACATATAAGTTTGAGCCTCAAATTTAATTTTATAGATACTATATTCAAATGGGAAAATATTTAAGATTAATAAGAAATAATATGATTTTATACTTCTTAAGTTTGATTTTCAAATTTAATCTTATTAGATATATCCAAATAGGAAAATATTTAAGACTAATTTGAAAATATATACGGTCACGTTCCTCCATTGAAAGGATCCCACATAGATATCCAAAAAGTTCCAAATTTCAAGGATAATAATCCTTATCGACTTGAATTTCAGAAAAAAACTGTTAATTCCTGTTTTCTTTAATGGCAGTCTTTCATTTTAAAATATTGTGCTATAATATACTAATATTTTGTTATCAGTTTTACAAACTTCAATAATTTGAACTCATTTAACTACTCTGACTTGTGAAAAAAATTAAATCTAAAATTTGTACAATGTTTCCCAATTAAAGTACATTAAATTTTATGAACTATTTAATGTAGTTTTCTACTGCTAAAGCGTACTAATACAAGAGTCAGATTTAACATTTTAGACCTTACTATAATCAAACAACATCAATCTGAAATAAGAACAAAGAGATATTATGTTTTTTTTTTTAAAGCTGTGTATATTGTTTTTTGCCATTTAAGTGGTTGTGGACACTATTAAGTACTACTCCTTTGAAAGTGTTTAGTTAATAGTATATTTTACTGACTTTTTTCGTAATTACGATTCTGAAAATTAGATATGGGCAAAATATGTCAGCCCATGAATTGGAGGATTTTATGAATTAGTTTGAAGTAGATGTAGATTGTGTAGAAACTAAAGTTCAAGATCTTTCTAGCCAAATTATATTTCTCCATGTTTTTCGATTAGAGAAGCAATTCACCTGCTATAGCACATACTACAGCGAAATTCTTCTATTTCGCATGGTTTAATGCATAATGCATTAATAAGGAGATAAAAAAAAGGTGGAATATCTTCTGTATTTTGTTGTGACTTGTGATGATGCATTTTACTAAGACGTGAGGTAAAAAGTAAAGGAAAAAAAAAAAGAATCATTCTAGTGGAGGTTCTGCACCATAATGATTGCTGAAATTTGGTCCACAATGTAGCGATAGTGTGATTTTGGCATTGGTGGATTTAAAAATGATTTTGTTGTCATATCAAGGAGAGATAATACAAATAAAATTTATAGATATTTAAGCAAAACTAAGGGCCCGTTTGGTCATAAAAGAAATTTACCTTTTTTCGAATTTTTTTTATTTTTTTCGAAATCGATGGTTGGCCATAATATTTTTAATTTTCACTTGAAAATAAAAAATATTATGGCCAAAAATTTTAAAAACTCCAAAAAGTTATTTTTTAAATTTTTTATTTCAGATCACTCCCAAAAATTCAAAAATAACCGAAAATTATATTCATATTCAAACACAACTCTAATTTTCAAATATTATTTTCAGTTGAATTTCTTTTTTTCATTTTTTCTCGGAATTTTATGATTCTTACGTCCAAAAGCCCACAAAGAAATGATAAAAAAAAAATATTAAAAAAAATCTCTTTTTCTCTCTCTATTCCGATACCTAATTTTATGCTAGTGAGAATATGATGAGATTCTTGTGTTTGGCAAAAACGTTATCTTATACGTGTCATTATTATTAGTTATTAACATATTCCCCAATCACCATGAACCCACCACCTACATAGAAATACTATGCCTTTATCTTTAGGAAGAAACGAAAATTAAATTATTGTATTATATAATCTACAAAAATTAATTCTAATCCATCTCTTTCTTGTGTTGGACTTAATTTGAATTTGGTTCAAAAGAAAACCAGGTCTGGTATAGAAAATCCAAGCTATGATCTTGCCAATTTGCTAAAATTGCAAAACTGAACTTGAGGGTGAATTTACGGACAATGCCAAAGATTATAAAAGATTCTGAAGCAAACGCAAATAGAATGTTATTTAGTAGTCACTGAATTTAAAAGAGAAACATGATATTTTGGATTCAAATTTATTTTCATCTGTCTAAGTTTGGATGGATCTAGTAACTCTGTTGGTGAAAAGTAACAGATACTCTTAAAAAATTTGAGGTGACGTGCAATCTAACCCAAAAACCAAATCGAAAAAAATCTCAAGCTAACATAGGTTTAAGGGGTTGGTTATGGGTACGAGGGATATTAGTATTAACACAAGAGATGATCTGGCATTGAACTACAGCAATGCAATAATAGTATTGACAAAGACAACCAACGACAGGCACTTTCTGCCACCTGCAATACTTAAATGTAATTGTCGCACCATTTTGATTTTGATCGTGATTTGTGACCTAATCCTTTAATGAAATATCTGTCTTGTTTTAACAATTCTACTTACCTTTGTGAACCATTGTTTTAGATGTGGGGAAACAAACACCTTAACTTGTGTTACTCAAAGAAAGGAAAAAGAAAAAGAGACATCTTCGTTTGTTTTTTATTTTTTTATTTTTTAATGATGAAGAGCAAATCAGTCATCTGAATTACTACAGATATATGTTGTGGTAAACCAATTATTATTTTCTCATGAAGAACGACTATTTGGGTTAGTCGGAGGTTAATTGTTAATCTCAATGGAATAATTTAATGGTTAAGATATCTCAATTTAAATCGTAATATTCCGAGTTTGTCATGTGATATTTTGCCTAGTATCAGCATAATTAAACCTTTCTTACTCCCTATTAAATGTGTAGAAAAAAAAGAGTTAATGTCAGTTTCCTTAACATGAGGAATAATTCTTTTTTTTTTTTGGTTTAATTATTCAATATTCAAAATTCATTGACTTGATTTTTTAATTCTCACGACTCAAATTCAACTATCTCATCTTAAAGATGACAAGATCTCAAACAAGTCATCACTTCGATGGTGGTACATGTGGAACAACTAGTGTGCCATCAATATGTCTGAGGCCATAATCCCGAGTCAATTAGTTTTGTGGCTCTTTACAAATTTATTTTTGATTTTATGATCCTATCTCTTTTTTTACACACGAAAAATTTACTTTTACACGTCTGTATTTTACACACAAGAGATCTAAACAAGTCATTTTCTTAATTTTAAAATTATAAACGGATATGACGTACAAATAACATCATATTCCGACACCTTTCGCTAGAAAATAAAAGGAAAGGAATTCCTCATGGGAATTGGAAACTTTAAAAGAAAATAAAAAATAAAAATTTGGTAGTAATTCAGTGTATAGATTTGAGAATTGGAGGTAGGCCATCAGAGCCCACAAAGGACGCATGGAAATGACGCTTTTCGTCTAAAATATCTTTAAATACTAGTACTCCATTTTCTTATCCTTTAGAGAAAATTAGATTGTAACTCTGTTTCCTCGGCCCACCAAAATCTATGGATTATTTGGTTTGTCCATTTGGTATGAGATAAGAGCTCGTTTGGCCAAACTGCTTATTTTTAAAAATATTTTTGTTCAAAAGTATTTTTTGAAAAAAATATTTTTTTTTTATTTTTGGCCAATTCATTGAGTAGTGCTTTTTGCAAGCAAATTGGGTTTGGCCAATTATTCTAAAAAGTACTTTTGAAGGACCGTAAAAGTTTAATTTTGCAATTAGTATTATTTGAAAGAGATAAATGAATTTAAATATTTACTATAATAAAAATATAATCTAAAATTTTTAATCAATATAAAATATAGTAATTCCAAAGCGATAATATTGCGTATCTAGTATTACTTATTGTCTACATGATGATTTAAAAATATCAAAATACATAACTCAATATAAATTAAAAATCTACTCTTATAAATTACTATATAAAAGAATAGATCTATTTATAGTAGAGAGAATATTCCAAAGACAAATAGGAGAAAGAGAATAAAAATATGATAAGAATAAAAAATAGAAGAAATGTATGGTAAAAAGAGGAAAAAATATATATTAAATTAATAAGGAATAGCTTGGAAAATATAAATTTAATGTAAGGATATTTTATCGTGAATAAATTAATTTTCTGCTTCTACTTCTGTTTCTTGGAAGAAGCTAGAATTTGTAGCTTCTCCCCAAAAGCATAAAAAATTATGCTACTCAAAAGCAATTTTCTATTTTGGCCAAACATCTTTAAAAAAAAAATTCAAAACTTTTATCAGTCAGGTGAACATCATAAACATTAAACGTTCTTCTAACATGCTTTCAAAAATTACAGTCTCGAGCTAGGTATCCGAACAATTTCCTAACATAGTGAACCACATGTCCCTTATAGACCAAAGTACTCCTCATCAGCATTAATACATTTGTCCTAATATTTTAGCCTTACTGCAACAAGAATCGTTGAAATCATGGCTTGTTAGTGTAGCATCTGTTGACGAATTAACCAAACCACTTAAATTTTCCTAAGAATCAGTCCAAATAAAACGAGAACTTGCCTTGGTAACCCAAGTACTTCCAGGGTTCAGCTTCAGCCAATTAACTGTTAGTGGAAAATTACAGAGACTAATTACAGGGCTCCCACGTTAGCTCCTTGAGAACCAATTCCAGCAAAAGGAAAAATGCACCTGCCTAAAAATCTATACTAAAGTGGGATTCGTAGGGAGTGGCTTTCCAGAAGATTCTGAAAGCAAAAACATCGCATCACAGAGGACTGACTATTCCCGACTAGTTTTCTCTTCATGTTTGCCTGAGGAATGGCAACAGCAAAAATGCAAAGTGCTTTTGGACACAGATTCACAATGAACAACCCACCCTGTTTCCTCTCGACTATGTGGACGCTGGAAAAGATGTTACCTCCCAGACTTTCTGGTGCATGAAAGCAAATTAGACAGCTACTGTTCCCCACCATCCAGTTTTCACTCTTTAGCATCTGAATAGCAAAACGAACGCGTTACAGACTTGACGACTTTAAAAATCTCATATAGTGCAAAATACCACTTTCCAGAGCTGGCAACATATTTTTTTAATACTTTTTTGGCCAAACACATAGACAGACACCTAAACTTGGCACCAAATTCCACTTAGACACCTCAACTAAAGCATGTTCCTATTAGGCACTCCAACATCTATTTAAGTGTACATATCAAACACACATTGCTTATATGGCATATTGGGTATATTACACCTCCTTTGAGAGAGTGGAAACAAAAAAAGCTGAAATAAGTCCCAAAAAGATATCAATAGAAAATTAAAAAAAGATCATTTCTTCCAATTTTGATTTTTTTCCCACTTTCTCCTTTATCGTGTCTTTCTGCTACGCCACCTGCACCACCATACCATCTCATTGTACATCAGCAGCCATAAAAATGCACCCCCAATCGCCAGAAATACATTATCCTCAAGATATCTAATTAAGGGAGTTAACATTATCAAGTAAAATATAAATCTAGAATTCTAACAAGTATAATAATAATTAAAGGGATATCATACGAATTGCTGCGGAGATAAAAAGGAGGATGGTGGGGAAGGGACTGCCCCTTTCTCTTTCTTATTTTTTGGTCAGATTTTACAATTAATTTTATCTTCTTTTCAGCTGACATGTAATTATTTTATTGGTTTGATGACTTGATCTGTCACTTTAAAAGAGAGTGAGGCTCACGCATTAATATTGGTTTTGGAATTATTGAATTTGTGTTAATAGGTACACTTTAATGGATGTTGGAGTGTTTAATAGGAACAAGCCTTAGTTGAAGTGTTTAAGTGAAATTTGGTGTCAAATTTAGGTGTCTGTCTATGTATTTGGCCTACTTTTTTTTGTGTGAAGTAAATAGCTTCATTGATGGCATCAAGAAGAATTTTTTTTTATACTTTTTTCTTTATATTTTGGATTGTGAGGTTGAATGGAGCTTGAAGTGAAATGCGCAAGAATAAAAAGGGAAAATAAGGAATCTAGTAGTTAAAACACAGATAATTGTCATGCAATGACATCTAGCAAAGAAAAATCTACTTGACAAGAATGACAGTTCCTACACAAACAAGGAAAAATATACTCACGAGGGCCATTATGTAACTATTTGTTCAGTTATGTTATATGGATAGTAGGTATATATCTTTACTTATAACCAATCACCAATTTAACAGGCATTTGGCCTCTCGCAAGGTCCCCGAGCTCCCATGCGAGAGATGTTGGTTCACTCAAAAGGCAATAACGTTCCGTCGACAGCACACTCATTCGGAGGAATCTCATGCAATTTCCTTTTTTTTTTAAAGCCAAGAAATCTCATCCAATTTCGTGATTAAGAGGTTGCAATGCAGAGTTTCTGTTATCAACCAAATCACACAATAAAACGAGAACTGTTTTAGGGTTTAAACCAACATTAACTTGTTGCCTGACCTAGGAAAGTTTGAAGTCTTGATAGATCCCTAAAACTTGAATGAACTAACTAGAGAGGCAAATACAAGAATTTCCCTGAAACTTGAAATTAGAAAACCACTAAATATGGTATGCTGAAAAACAAAAACTCACCTTTGTCATTGAGAAAAGCAGAAGCTCTGGCATTCATTTCGATATTGTTAGCCATTATACCAGTTGGAGCAGGTGCAGCAGATAGTTTAATTGTGGGAGGGGAACAAGTGTTGCTCCTACTTGAGAGCTCATTAGGGGTATGATTTCCAGTTTGATGGTTCACATAGATGTCCAAGCTAGCAGACGAAGACATTCCTATCTTTCTCTTGCTCTTGAACCTTCACCTAACAGAGATGTGAGATACTGAAAAAGGAACAGAAAGCAGTACAACTGTTCTCGTGTCTTATTTCCATTTTGATCTTGAGCAGTTTAGTTATTGCAGTACCTGTCTTTCCGCTTCTCAAGATATCTTTGTACTGATGCTTTCCTGCTTGGGTGGCCTTCCACTGCTTCTGCATAATTGGCTTTGGAGAGATGGGAGAGAGAGAAAGATATAAGAAAGAAATTTATGGAGAAGTAGATTGCTTTGACTTCAAGTCTTGCATTAATTAGAGGGCATTCAACAATAGTGCATTGACAAAAGAATAAAAGAGCTGCAGATCGACCTTCTTAACTTTAGGAAATCCTTTCCTTATGTAAAATATCACAATGTTGCCATCGAAATGGTCAGGTTATGCTGTGGGCTCCATGATTCTGTTAACAGTAACCAACTGATTCTATTAAAACAGTGGTTCACAGGAGAAACGACATTGTTAAATCTTCTAGTCCGCAGACCTTTTGTTTGTAGATAAGTATCTTCTAGTCTGCAGACTTTGTTGTGCAATTCAATTCAAATGCAAAACCTGCTTTATGGAAGAACCTTCAGCACCTCAGTCGTAAAATATCCAAGCAACAGCTGGCTTTTCCTCTAGTTCTTTTACTTTTTTCTTATAATGATGGTGTTCGGACCAGCTTGCGCAAAAGTTGACTATTCCACCGGGTACCTGCTACCTCACACCAACACAGGTATCGGATACTCTGCCAACTTAGACTAAGGCAGATGGAAGAAAATCACCTGGCATTTTTTGTTTTTGCTGGGATTTGAACTTAGTCTCTAAAGTTTTGACCTACTTCATTAACTGCTAAGCCATACCCTTGGGTGCTCCTTTAGTTTTCAGGCACCACTTCAATAGTTTGGTTGTTTGTGGAATTTCAAAATGTCTTCCATATAAATGTAAAATCTGGTCAGGATGGAAAGTCTTGAATTATAAAGAGTAGTAATTTATCTTCTTCTTTTTTTAAAATAAGTTAATGAGTGGTAATATTTAAAAAATGACAAGTTTTGCCTTATCTTTTCCTCTGATTTTCAGGTACGATGCTGTAATAGATAAATTTTAATGAAAGCTAGAGGTCAGCAAGGCCAGTTAACATGGAGAAAGAAAGCCATGGCCTCACACCACCCTGGGAAGGGGTG